CTGGATGCCAGGTAATTGGAAGGGAAGAGGACATGATTGATAGGCTGATACATATGTAAAGGACAAAGGATGTGGAACGATACCCAGTTGCATGATCCAACCTTTCTACTCAAATCAGTTCTCCTGTCCTATACCGTTTTACAGGCAAATCTGCACAATGGTAGCCTTTGGAAATGGAAAATTTGCCTGAATAGGGCTATATAAATAGGGTTCTAATTATTATGTTCCCTTCCATTTGTGTGGATTTTGTGGAAATATCAGTGGGAAGCAGCTCAAAAAGGCACTTTTGGAAGGAACAATCAAGCAGTGGCAAATTTATTTTACAGTTATCTCCTGTGACTTCATTATAGGTCCATATATTATTTAGCTCTTTATGAAAGATAGTAAAGGATTCCTTACTCACCTGCCATTGTCAATCTGCTACATGCAGGAGGAAATCCTGTTCCTCTTTACATCCCAGAATGTCAGACCCTTCTCATGTTTCTATGCAGCCGTCACAGCAGCCTATGGGAACAAAAGGCGGGAGATGCCCCCTCAGGAGGATCTTCTGATATAAGTGATGCCAGCAGTGATCATTCTGGGAGCCTGGAGTACGAGACCCTGAGCAGCTCAGATGAAGAACCAGAAGTGCCAGTAACGACTCCCCAGTATTGTTTTCGTCCTTTACATGAGCCTTCTGAGAATCCCAGTTATCCCTTGCCTCTCTCAGGCAGCCCCATGCTCAGTCTTCAGGCAATAGAAGAACCTGGGGCATCAGATGATTCAGGAGCTGAGGAGGTGCGGAGACACCTGGCTACCATGAAAGTACCCGAGAAGCCACCCATACTCCGACGGGAACGCATTAATCTTTATGCAATTATGCGCAGCATCAGTGAGATGGATAGCCCAGAACACACCTCCGTGACAGAGGGCACACCTGAGGAAGAGGTATGGAATCATGCAAAGGTACCTGCGCAGGAGTGAATGGGGAGCAGAAAAGAGATGGGGTGCGTCTCATGATAATGGTGATAAAAGGAAAGGGACCAAATGCAAACCCAATTTCAGCCAGTCCTTGAGTATTGAAGTTTTGCCTTTAAATGAATCTAAACTCCAGCTCCTCTTTAGGACAATGATGGTTTATCCAATATAGCATCAAACAACAAATACTCTAATCAGGCAAGAATGGCTAAAAACCAGACAAGGTTAGAGTTGGGTTTGAGTTTGATCCCTTTTATCACCATTATCATGAGACACACCCCACCACACCCAGGCCTATACTCAGTTCTAATTCTGGCCACGCCTAACCCATGATCCCTAAATGCTATTAACCCTATAACATCTACATCCCTACCCTATTCCGACCCTCATTAACTGATCCCCACCTGGTGCCACCTTCACCATGTTTTAACCTAAGTCCTAATTACCACCTATATGTGCCCCAACCCACTTTAACAATATGCACAACATCAATAAAGAGCCAGTTCCAGCAGCCCTGCAGTTGTTGCAGACTCCATCCTCAGCTCTGCTGAGTCATTCCAAAGCCATCGGCCAGCACACAAGCAGAAATACAGATCTGGCAGCAGCAGAGATAAGGTGACATGGCCAGACTTGCTGCAAAGTATATTCGGAGCTGACGGGCTCTGGGTGAACTCAGAGCCTGACACTTTACAACCTAGAATAAAAGAAGGGAGTAAAACTGACATCAGGTATTTATTTATTTAAAACATAATGACTTCCAGTAAAATAAATCTTGAAGTGGTTTACAATTAGAAATACAATTATATAAAAAATAGGGCAAACCAATAAATAAAAGCATACTGTTAAGAAGATGATATTCTTTAGTTAATGACCATTTGTTCAACAATCATTCTAAATTACAAAGCTGACTGAGGAGACTGACAGCTGATCCTCAAAACTGTGGCCATCACAGCATCCCTACAAGCCTGTGATTGCCATTTGTGCCCTTCACTGCTGGCTTCCAACAAGCAAAAGTCAATAGGGAAGCTGGCTGGAGATTTCAAAAGGCAATTCCATGAATTGTGCCTAACAACCACTCCTCCTAAAAGAAGAATATGTGCTCTCTTTTTGTATTAAAAATAGTAAAACGTGAGACACAATTCAAAGCAAACATGAACATGACCTCACCTGAGCAAGCACCTTATCAAGAGTTAAAATTAAACTAACCTTCCAAAATCCGAAATAAAGGACCTGCTACAGATTGGACTGTCAGAACTAGAATCTAAGTAATGAATTTGATTGATTATACTCTAGAAGGCTCTAAGACCCTCTCCTATTAAGATTGTGTATGATGATTTGCTGCGCCAGATTCTCCAAAGTCCCAAATCAATGCATAAATGAAGATAGGTGGCATTTCTGGGGCAGAGAGTTGCATTACTCTAATAGGTCAGGTCAGGGAAAGGATTAGAGTAAAATGAATGGAGATGGAGTCAGACTTAAAACAGCTTAAGTGTAAAATTATTCAAATAGATCAGGGCTGTCAAACTCCTAGCCCACGGGCCAGATGCGTCACGTGCTGGCCATGCCCACGGCTGGTTTAACGAAGGGGAAAAAAGTTCTGATATGTCACGTGACAACGCCGTGATGCTGTGAGTTTGCCACCACTGAACTAGATGCTTCTACGAGAGAATAAAAGCATGCAAGCCCTGGCAGTAGCTGCCCAGTGTTTTGTTTCTAAAATGAAACTGTTCTAAGCCAGTTGCATAGAAATGTTAACCAAGAGCAATGGAATGTGGAAGCTAAAGTGACAGAGGAAGTAGTAGTTTTAACCAGGGATCCCCAACCCCCACTACCGGGCTATGGCCTATTCAGAATTGGGCTGTGTGAGTTGTTGCACACATGCACATGAACTTGCACAAGCAATGGACTGGCAGGCACTTGATGTGCACCCCAGCCTGCCACTCGTGCAAGTTGAGCTTTGCACATGCATTACTTGTGCCACTTGTGCAAAGGCTGCATGCGAGCATGCCCACCAGCCCACCTTTCGCATGGCCAGCCCTCCCCCCCCCCAAGTCAGACCACCAAGCCACAAAGATTGGGGACCACTGGTTTTAACCATTTAATCATGCCAACTCTTGGTGACTATAGGCAAGTGCTCTCCATGCTACCCTGTCAAGCACAGCTTCTTTTAGTTGTTGGATGTTCATCTTTGTATCAGCTTTGATGGTATCAAGCCAGGGTGTTCTTCACTTGCCCCTTCTTCTTGATCCACTAACCATTCCTAGCACTGACCTCTCCAATGAATGTGCATGACATGGCCAAAGTAAAGACAAGATAAATCAAAGAGCATCCAATGTAGTTGGTGATGTGCAATTCAATGAGCTCTTCCTCTCTCGGCAGGTATTTCTTCATGCTGAAAGGAAGACCTGTGAACTATCATCCCAAAGTGAAGAAAATGAAAAGCCAGTTACAGCAAAATCGTCTCTTCCAGGAGAGCAGCAGGCATATGGACGCAGGCCAGGGCGAAGGGGACGTAGCAGAGGTTCCAGAGTCCATGCTCAGCCTTGCAAACAGCTCTCGTACCACCCGGCACCAGGCAAGGTGCATAAAGCTGTTCGGCACATGGAAGGGTCTGGCTCATGTGGGCGCAAGGCCCCCTTGCAGCACCGCCTCTCAGTGGCTCAACTGGCTGATGCTGCCCTGGTGGTGAGTCGGACCAAGGAATTTGAGGGACAGATAAATCCTGAAATTCCCAAGAAGCTCCAATTGCCATCTTCCTTGCCGTGTTCCAGGTCTCGACAGGTTGTGCGCCAGGCCAGTGTTGACATGGACCCTAGTTCGGTCTGAAGACCTTTTCTCTGCCTTTCCCCCTTTCTACTGTCAGTAAACAAAAAGTTTTCATGGAATCCCAAGACTGAAGGCACATTTGTGATACTTAGCCTGAGGGAATACATTTTCTGTACACTGCCTAGGAGGAGAGAACTTCTTTACTCCTAAAGGAAACCACAGCTGCTTTCCAAGTGCATTTTTTCTCCTTTCTATGGGAAATGGCAGCATGGGTGTGGAAAGGACCAGTGTTGCTTTTGGGTTAATCCATTTATGTGTTACTGACCTAAGGGCCCTGATGATGTCACAGTTTTAAGTTTCATATGGCAGGGCTGTTTGTCTTTTAATTTGCTTTGACTGCCCTCATATTCTGTTCTTCCCCAATCTGGTATTTTCCGGTTTAATGGACTAGAATTCTGGTCATCTTCACCCAGCACAATAGTGGAAATTGTAGTCAGACAGGAGGCCTCCAGATGGGCCAAAGGTTGTTTTACAGAAAAGGTTTAAGACTGAATCCTCTCACTGTGATCCAAGTGG